TATTCCCATTCTCCTCTGTTCTCTTCATTTTCCTTTGTCTAAGTCAGTGAACTTCTATACTTCCTCTCGCTACCCTCTCTTGTTATGGGTTAGCATCCACATATCAGAGAGAATATTCAACTATTGTTTTTGGGGGGTCTGGTTTATTTCACTTAGCATGATATTCTCCAGTTCTATCCATTTACCAGCAAATGCCATGATTTCATTCTTCTTAAAGGCTGAGTAATATTCCATTGTATGTATGTACCACATTTTCTTTATTGATTCATCTGTTGAAGAACACATAGTTTTGTTCCATAGTCTAGCTATTGTGAATTGAGCTGCTATAAACATTGATGTAGCTGTGTCACTGTGCTGATTTTAAGACCTTTGGGTATAAGCACAGGAGTGGAATAACTGGGTCAAATGGTGGTTTCAATGCAAGTGTTCTAAGGAATACCCATACTACTTTCCAGAGTGGTTGGACAAAATTGCAGTCCCACCAGCAATGTATCAGTGTACCTTGTTCCCAATATTCTTGCCAACATTTATTGTTCCTTTTTTATTGACAATTGCCCCTGGGGTTACAGGCATACACTAACATGCCTGGATGGTGCACCACCATGACCAGTCTCTTAACATCTTTTCTCCATGGTCAACTTTGTTTTCAAGATTATATATTTCATCTTCATTGCTGTCTTCCAAAGGTCTATTCTGTTGGTGATGCTTTCCATTGAACTCTTAATTTGATTTATTGATTCCTTCATTTCAAGGCTTTCTGCTTGATTTTCTTTCAGAATCTCTATATGTTCATTGAAGTGATCTTTCAATTTCCATATTTTGTTTCTGATCTCACACCTTACATTACCCTTTATTTTGCAGATCAGTTTGACTATGTTTATTTTAAATTCCATCTCTGACATTTCTTCCACTGTGGTGTCATTAGAATCTGTTATTGAAGTATCTTTGTTTGTTTGGGGTGATTTGTTACCCTGATTTTTCATGTTATTTGTGTCTACTCACCTATCTGGATGGATCTGATGATGTAGAATTTCTATGTTATGGATTTATACTATTCTTCTATGTTACTAGTATCTCAGATTGGGGGGAGTCCCTTATAGCAATGAGTTATGCAAACAATATATAGCAGTAGACTAGATCCTTAATTCCTATTTTAATATCTAGTGTTAATTTGTACAATATGTTGACAGTGGAATCCTGAATTTCCAAAAGTAAAAATAGTATATAGTCATGTATTATGGCTGGCTTAAAATCAAACAATAGGTGCTCACGTCCATGGCTTCTGCTGTATTAATTATTGATGTGACATTGGTGGTAAGGGGAGATGTTCTATACCTCAGTTAGTGTTAGGAAGTGTTAGGGATAGAGTTTAGTACATGTAAAGAATAAGAGATAGGAAGATAGAAAAAATGTTTTTAATTTCAAAGGGTGAACAGGGATGATGCAGTGGTAACTTAGGATATGTTGTTGGCTTGGAAGGGTACCAAAAAATAGAAGAATATAGAGGAGGAGAGAGAGAGAGAATGGAATTTGGTGTCAAGAATGTAGAAATGAGAAGGGGAGACAAGGGTGATAGTCTTGATAAAGATGATACAGAACAAAATCAAAATAAGCTAATCATAACCCCTAACCTCAAAATACAGAGCATGGGAAAATAACACCTTTGGGGTAAAAAAAAAAAAAACAACGATAAAACAACAACAACAACAAAATCTACAACAACAACAGACCCCCCCAAAAAAATGAATGAAATAACAACAACAAAAACAAAAACAAAGCTAGAAATGAGGAGAGAGAGAAACAAATATATGATTATGCATAGGAGTTCTTGAATCAGTCAGTACACATTTAAATACAAGAAAAATCCAATATGGAAACCTTAAATCAGAAAGCAAAACAGAACTACTGCCACAATAAACAAGCCACAACAGCAACAACAAGAACAAAAAAGAAAAATCTTGGTGAAATATTAAGAAATTAAGGAGTTGTATCCACTGCGGTGGGCAAAATAGTGAGTGTATGTGTGCACTGACTGTGCCCACTTGGTTTTCTTTTTGTTTCCTCTTCAAGTATGATCTATGGGCTGTGGGTTGTGTGTTTTTCCTTTTTATTGTGTTGCTCACCATATTGAAGGTTGGGGTTTAAGACTTCCTAATTCCCCTTCTTGGGAGATTATTGTGGGCAGGCTAGGCTGCAGACCTGGAGGCAGAGTGGAATGCTGGGGAAGCTGAATTGCAGGCTGGCAGCAAAGCAGCTAGCCATCTCCATGAGGCAGGTGGATCAGGGCCTGGTGCTTGATCCTGGGGACTGGCCAGTCATGAAACTTCTTGCTGGACCAGGTGGGTCTTTTGGCAAAGCAGCTGGGTGGATCAAGGCTGGCCCCAGGACCTGCAGGCTAGCCACAAAATTCCAAGCAATGTGTCAGGTCAGGGGCCAGGGAGAAGTTGGGAGACTAGGAAGCTGGAAGGCCCTATTGGGTACCAAACGATGCCGGACCTGGTGGGTCCCAGGAACTAGTGGATACTGAACTGGGGAGGGAGTCAGGGACTTGGCTGGTGCTGGGACTCCATGAGTGCCAGTCTAGGTGAGCCACAGGAACCTGGTACATACTGGACCTGTTGGTTGCACAAGCTGAGAGCAAAATGCCCTAATGCCCTCTTACAACCATCTGACCCACTATAGCCAGCCCTGTCAATCCCCACCAGCCTCAGAACTCACAGAGCTGGGGAGAGCCTGATTCTCTCCAGCCTCTCTAACCTGTGTTCCCTTAGGTGGTATGTTCCCAGTTTCTGACTTTCCACAGGTTTACTAGGCTTACACAGGCCTACACAGACCTAGCTGCAAACTCATGGGTCTGGGTTTCCAGTTTCCATAGGCTACACTGGCTCGTGTAGAGGTTTTTGTTTTGTTTTTATCTGATTAATGAGTCAAACAGTCTCTGAATCCCTCCAGTCTCAGGATTTTTTAATCTAAGCCTGTGGGAGATGTGGTATTCTCACAGTTTCAGTTCTAGGTAGCCCCTTACAAGAGAAATGCTTCCTCACGCTAGTCTACCATCTTGCCTCTCTGTGCTTGTACGTTTTCTGTACTATATGCTCCCTGAAAGAATGTGGCTAAGTAAATTTTGTATACGTTGGTTATTCTTTAAAAATTTTTCTTTTAGTGCATCATAGTTATACATAATAGCATGGTTCATTTTGACATATTCATAAGTTGTGTAGAACATGATTTCCTGCATTTCAATCCCCAGTACTTCCTCTTTCCTTTCCTTCTTCCCTTTTCCTAATCCTCTTCCTCTACCTTGTTGGTCTTACTTCTATTTATTTATTGTTTTTAATTGGAGCATTATAGCTATACTATAAAAGTGGAATTAATTGTGATATATACATGCAAGCACATAACATAATTTGGTTAATTTCATTCTTCAGTTTTTCTCCCTCCCCTTCAACCATCTTTCTCTACCCTACTTTTCTCCCTTCTGTTTTCATGAGATCCCTTTATAAATTCTTTATTTCTGGTCGCAGTGGCACATATCTGTAATCCCAGTTACTTGGGAGGCTGAGTAAGGCAAGATGATTGCATTTTTGAGGTCAGCTTTGGCAATTTAGTGAGGTCCTAAGCAACTTAGTGATACAATGTCTCAAAATAAAATAAAGTAAATAAGTAAATGGGACTGGGAATGTGGCTCAGTGGTAAAGCCTCCCTGGGTTCAATCCCATGAATCAAAAATAATAAATAAATAAATTACTTATTTCTCTCTTGCTTTCACATATAAGAGAAAACATTCAACCCTTGAATTTCTGTATTTGGCTTATTTGGCTTAGCATGATGTTCTCTAGTTCTATTGGTAAATGACACAATTTCCTTCCTTCTTATGGCATTTTATATGTTGATTATTCTTTGCTCTAAAGAATATCTAAAATTGAATGTTATAATCTTCAGTTAACTAGTATTACAAGAGAATGTAAACCAACAGTTTATTTGTTTTTTTTTTTTGCCCTTGGAAAGAAATTTATTTTCATTAATTATTTAGCATTTTACAAATAGGAAGTGATAGTGCTTCTTTGTTTGTTATTTTGGTAGTTATCTTTTGTAGTATTGTCCACAAGCTGGCTTTTAAACGAACAGTCAGGGATATGTGATATAGAAGTATTCTTATGAAAACACAAGAGACTAGTATAAGCAGAACAGAGAATGAATCACCACAAATAAATGACATTTAAATCAAAGTCCCAGGCTCACCTTGATCTTTTGGTATTCGGAGGAACTAAGATGACACCAGTTTTGTTTTTGTCCTCCCACCCCCAATTATTATTATTTTTTCCTATTTAAGGCAAAGGAGCTGGGATTTGAAAAGCCCATACCACACAGCCATTGCTTATGGGCATTCCCTAAGGTACCTAAACTTCCAGGCTCTTATAGTTTTAAGCAGCTTTAGTAGCCTAAGGGAAGTTCTCTGAAGAAAGTTATACTGTGTCCACTCAGAGAACAGGAGCATAGCACAAGTATATAATATCTTAGATGATAAGGGCTTAAGGGCAGAACTTCCACAGCATTTGCTTTTCTCTTTTATCTCACCCTTCTATATTCATAGTTAAAACAAAAACTAACATTTTTTTCCATAATGGCAGTGATAATGGTGTCTTTGGGTAAACTATATTATTTAATCTAAACAATTATTACTTTGAATAAATTAACTCGGGGTCCACTTCAACTCTAAAATGACCCAAATCTGTGTTTATGTACCTGCATAGTGACAATCTATATTCTAGAACACACTTGACAGTGGAATTTACAATCTTTGTTAAAACTTTAAAAATAAAAGTTTTCAAGCCTTTTAAGATAGATATGTTGTTAATAAACACAAAGGCAGTGGGAAGAAAAAGATGAATAATTTGTGTCAACATCATTAAAGGAATCTGGGATACTTAGAAATATTTCACTGTATTTACTGCTTATGAAAATTTTATTTTATTGAAATATAATGTTTTCACTTTTAGGTTTTCGCTTCCAGTTACAGCAACAGCAGAAAACTGTATTCTTACTATATATCCATATTTGGCAATTCATCTTGATAAGCAAAAAATTATTTTAAAGGATGGTAAGTTGCTTATGATTGTTTTCTCTCTAACTCATTGTATAGATTCTTGTTACCCAGAGCCAATATCTAGATATAGAGTGAATTTTAAATTAACAGGTGTTTATTAAACAGCTGCCATTGCCAGGACTTGTGTTTCTCATCAGTAGTAGAATATGACAGTGTCTCTTGATTCCAAAAGTTAACAATCTAATAAAAGATACATAAATAAATTATTTACTAAGAATATTTAATTAAGGACTTTATATATGAGCCAGTTGAAGTGTTGGGCATGTGGAGGTGGTACAGAGATTATTGCTGATGTTGGGGTTCTGGAATGATTTATAGAAGAGATGGCATTCATGTAGAGCTTGACAAACGATGATCTTGACCAGGATGGTTTGTGCAAACAGTGAAATAGCAAAAACATAGGGTTGTAATGGGAGACATAAGGCATGAGATGGAGGTGCAGGGCCATACTGTTTAGCCCTTTATTTTATAGTTCTGAGAACATTCTGTGGATTTTTGAATATCAATGATTTATAAAGAGAGCAGTTGCTGGGATATATTCATATAAAATAAATTAAGGTAGCATAGAGAATAGTCAGTAGAACAGCTGAGATTGCTGCAGGAGAGATTGTGAGAAAAGCTAAGATCAAAGGTACATAATTACAAATTGAAAGCAGGAATAAATTTCAGATCAGTTGTCAGAAAGGTTACTGTAGTTAATTACACATTGTGTTCTTAAAAAATGTAAAGAAAGTGGTGGATATAATGTGTTCTCATCACAAAATTGATAACTATATGAGATAATGTATTTATAAATTAGCTAGATATAACCATTTCACAATGTATGCTTCAAAATAACAGGGTGGACACAATAAATATAGAAAATTATCTGTCAATTAAAATTAATTAATTAATTAGAGCTGAGCATATGGCTCAGTGGTAATTTCCTAGCATGTGTGAGGCTCTTGGTTTAATCCTCAGCAAAAATATAAACAAAGAAACAAATAAAAAACAATTAATGAATTAATTTAAAAAAATAAGGAAAAGAAAAAAGTAATAGAAAAAAAGTTAGTGAATAGGGGAGAAATTGAAATGAAAGACACAGAAGAGAACAAATGATGGAGTAAGTCCCAGAGAAGAGAAAAGGTGAAGCATGGGGGGAAAAACTCCATCTTAGTAGTCTGTCAAGTCCTTAATTTTTAGTGCTGAGTTGGAGGGGCTTTTCGGTGTTTTAACCAGTTTTCTCATTTTCTCTACTTGCTTCTTCAAACATTTACCAATCTGATGAAACCCATTCAATCTGTTCTATCTCAGTCTCAGAGAATGCCATTTTTCTTACTGTTGAAAAGAGATAGAGACCATCAGACAATAAAGCTCTGAAGTTCCAAATACCAAGCATGTGCTGGAACCCATCATACCTCCTTTTCCTCTAGTCACAAGGACAGAAGCCAGTATGCAGGCCCTTCCTTTATCTAAATCTCATTACCCAGAAACTCTACTATATCGAATAACCTTGCTTATACTTGCTTGTCAATTTTTGCCTCCCTCTTATGTACTTTAGTTCAGTTTCCAGGAAGTCAGCAGGGAGGAGAAGGGAGACTATATATTTTTAGGAAAATTCCAAGGAATAAGTAAACAGAGCAGATTTAGGCCACGTATTCCTTACTTATTCCTTATTTCCCAATCTTATTGTCAATTAACTTCCTAGAGATAGGGAGAAAAGTAGCAGAGGAAAGTAAGCAATTAGAGTACCTCACCTCCTTTTAACAGGAAATGAATTTTAGGAGTAATCAAGAAGCATTATTTGCCTACTGGGCATGTCTAAGAGTGTTGATTATTCCCCACTTTTCTTTCTTGAGACTATCTCTGGGCTTCTACATGCCATACTTCTCTGGGTTTTCTCTAACTTAAGACTATTCCTTCCAAGCATCTTTCATGAATTCTTCTTCCTCTCTCTGTATTTTTTAATTCTTTGCATCTGTTGGAGCTCTGACCCCTCTTCTCCCTTCTATGGCTTCAATTATAATACATGGGATATATCTCCAATGCTAATCCCTTTCAGAGATTCAGGAATTCAGAATTCAACTGAATTCTGGATGCCTTTCATTGTATTCCCACAGGCCTCCCCCAAACAGCATGACCAAAACTAAACTCCCCTTTCTGGAATCTTCTCATCCTTCTGTATATCCTACTTCTGTAGATTTACCTACAACAGATTAGGTAAGTCCTTATCCAGATACTAAATTGTCATCCTTAATGATGTCATCTCTCTATCATACTACAACTCCAGTCCAACAAATCCTATTACTTTGCCTTCTAAATGCCTCTCAAATCATCTCCTTTCTCTCTCCAGTGATAGTACATACATTTAAGTTCCTGTAATGTCTTCTTTGGATCAATGTAGATTTCTAAACTATTCTCCTGCTTCCTCTGAAGACCCCATATGGCATTACCCTACACAATGACCTTATTCTCATTCCAGACAACTTTCCCTTTATGCTCAAGCCACAATAAACTTCTGTAAGTTTTTCTAGCATCCAGATCTTACTAATAATCTTTCCTATCTGGAGCATTTTTCTACAAAACTCTACATCATCTGCATACCTAAAATCATTCCTGCCTCTACAAGCAAGGGTTTTGCATTCTCTGGTAAATGTTCATAGTTTTGAGCAATTTCCATCACTGCCCTTAACACATTTTTACTTAATATGCCTATTACCTATATCCCTTTCTAGATATTGTTATCTATAAGGCATTGAGAATAGGAATCATTTCTTTCCTTTTCACTCTTGTATCCACAATGCCTCACACAATGTGTGGTAGATAAAAGGTATTTATTCAATATTACAGAATGGGTCATCTGATTTATAAAACATCAGAAAGGCATCTCTTAGCTATACATTTTCATAAGAGAGTGGCTATATGTGGAATAGTGTCTTCTGAGCATAAAAAATCATTGAAAGCAGTTTATGGAATTATCTAATTGGCAGGATGAAGAGAAAGACAAAGATCTCAGAATTTTGACATATTGTCAAAATTTAAAAGATTTTTATGACTAATTCTAATATGTTATATTTCATTTCATTCTTTCATTAAACAACATGTATATATAAGATAATAGCAGGATATTAATAATATGTGTTTTATCTATTCAAAGGGCTTTTGTGATAACTCATAGACTATAAATACCTAGAAGGTATTATTTTTACTATGGTTTCATTACTACTGCTATTATCACTGATGGTGATTGCTTTATCACTTTTGTATTTTTATAATATCCTATAAAAATGAGTAATTGCTGTATAATTGGTAATATTGTTACAACTTTAAAAGAAAAAAATGAATAAATTCTTTGTGTTTCTTTGATGATTGAACATGAAATGCATGGACTAAAAATAATACATCCATTTGGAGAAATATTTGTAGAAGTATGTATAATAATTTTTAGTACATATTTAATGCTTTCCAGGTATGGGGTGTTCTGCTAATTTCCTTGCATTTGTTACATAATTTACTCCTCCCCCAAATTCTAAGTTAGATACCCTTATAGATCTCACTTTACAGATTAAGAAGGTGACTAATGGAGAGGCTGAGAAGCTTGTCCCAGGGGATTCTATCCAAGTTTGTGAGACTTCAGAACATACATATTTAGCTCCTGTGCTCTATAAGATGGCATGCCCAATAAAGGTGAAATCTTAAATTAAGTATACCCCTAAAGCAAGGCAGTATAATTAATTGATTACTGCTTATATGCTAGATTTAAACAAAATGATGTGAACAAATTACTTTAGTTGAAAGGATGGAATTGGGGCTTTGTACTCACTGTAGGAACTTTTTATCATTTGATAAATTTAAAACATTGCCTAATGCAGCTTCAAATGGTTTTATCACCGAACTATCTAAAAGTTACTCCTATGTAGACTATCATGGCATAGCTTTCTGGAGAATATTGAATGTAAAATAGTTAAAAATGTCTATGAGATTCTGTAACACACACACACACACACACACACACACATACAGTTGTATATTCTGATGTGTGGACTTACATAAACATGTACTGGCTTTGATCAGCACTGCCTTTGGTTGGTTGAGATTTCTGCTTTGCAAACCCCCTCTCTAAATATACATAGTAAATCTAGCAGGAAGATACATTAAATTTGTTTATCAGCTCATAACCAAGCAGTGATTTCACTTGAGTGAGTTAACTAGGAAAAAAATTACTTTTGTTAGTGATACTCTTCTTTTATCTTTTTTTGAACATCATATGTAATAATTCCATTTTGGGGGTATTGAAAATTTAAAATGTTTTACATATTTTTATTTATCCTAAAGTTGAATATTGTTTATTCTGCAATAACTTTGATATGCTATAATAATTGCTTTATCAAATAAATTTTAGTTTAGAAAGTTATTATCAATATTAACTTTTTGTCATCTTATTTGAAGTATAATAAATATTTTAGACTTTTTTCTATTATTTTTATATAAATATGAAATTCAGGTTAAGTAATTTTCTGGTGAATTCCATGAATGTTTATTTTACTTACTATTGCCCAATGTGTCACTTGTAGATAAAGATGGAAATCCTATGAAGTCTAGAGGCAGTTTTATGTTTCCCCACCAGGATGTCGAATTACCCTCTTCTGCTTCAATAAATATGACATCCACTGCTACTAAATTTAATGATGCTGAACTTACAAGTGGAAACTTATTTGTTGGTATGTGGCAAATATAGTGTATTTCTCAAATTTAGTCCTTGATGTGGTCTGCTTAATATCTTTTAATTTAAAAGTTAGTTCTTTTCTAGTAAGAAATCCATGGATTTGTCAGTAGTTTTAAATAGGTCATCTGCTTCAAGAGTTCTCTCCAATGAGCAATGGCAAAAACTCTCTTGATTTGCAACACCTCTAGTATTTAAATACATTTCCCTAGGCCAAAAAAGTAAAAATAGTTGCATTTATTAACTGGTTTAGTACAAAAAAAAAACCTTGAGAGTAGTTGCTTATGTATGCTGCCTAACAGATGTTTCAGTAATATTTAACAAACAAGCAAAATATCCAGTGGATGTTCTGTAAATTTGTTGTGACATTATAGGAGACCTCTGACAGAGTTTGGGAACTGCAGAACTATGGTTTTGTCATTTCATTATCTAGGTGGACCCATGGTTAAACCATCTTTTAAAAAGTGAACACTGCTAAATATGCATTTGATATTACTTGCAATTAACTGCGCAAATATTTCTTTCCCTAGATATGGGTAATAATTGAAACTTTTTCTTTTTATTGAATGAACCAAACCAACTTAAATAGTATGAAGATAGTTTCCAGTTGGTTTACTTTTGTGTCATGTAATAGGCAGATTTTTTTAAAAAAAAAGAGAGAGAGAGAGAGAGAGAGAGAGAGAGAGAGAGAGAGAGAGAGAGAGGATTTTTTTAAATATTTATTTTTTAGTTTTTCGGCGGACACAACATCTTTGTTTGTACGTGGTGCTGAGGATTGAACCCGGGCTGCACGCATGCCAGGCAAGTGCGCTACCGCTTGAGCCACATCCTCAGCCTGGCAGATATTTTTAAAAAGAAAATTGATAATATCATTCTATATTTTTGAAATTTTCCATAATTCAAAAAGTATTTTGTTTTATTTAAATACTTAATTTAAAGAGAACATCATTTTGAATCTGAAATCAATATTTTTGTTTCTATAATTCTTTCAGCTGAAGTTTAGTTTTGTCTAATAAACAAAGGTAAAGAATTGTCAAGACATTTTTCTTATGTAGTTAGAAGTAAAAGCTTCCACTTTAGGAATATTTTCATATACCATTAAGGCAAAAAGAAAATAGAATTGTTTCCTTTTGAAATTCATATATTTAAAAAACATTATTTGAGTATTTGAATGTAAGTATATTCTCATTATTTATTTTGCAATATAGTAAATTGACTCAGAGGAATAGATATAGCTGTAAGAATATTTTGCTCTGTTGTCAAGTAATCATTTTTATAAACAAATGTGAATTTTAGGAATGGACACATTACAAGAAGATTTGGACTTTGATGAAAGCAAAACACCAAAAATGGCAGATGATGGAAAGGAGGAGAAAAATGAGCAATTCTTTTCTCTGGAAGAAGGATCAAAGGCATATAACTTCTTTCAGAAGGTTGTAAATGCAGCCCAGACATGGTTCAGTCTCTTTGGCTGGCCTGAAGGACCTCATTCTCTTTCCATTCCAGAGACTATAAGAAGGTGATAGTTATATGTTTCTCTAAATTTCATTCTTCATATCATTTTCTGAAATATGATCTGTTTATTTTGTTAATTTTAAGTGAAATGAAATATTAAATTATTGGTAAGCTATTAAAAGTGATAAGTTATAAAGAGGCTAGAAAGAAGAGTACAAAATGGAAATATAAATTCTTTAGGCTACATATAATTTTAAATTTCTTCTAAATATCTGATAATTTTAGGAAAGTACTGAAAAATCACTGGACCTCAGTTTCCTGATGTGTGAATTAAGAAGGGTAAACTATGAGCAGAAAAAGTCCTTTTAAATTAAAAAAATTAGGAAATCATACATTTTAATATAAATAAGCTATCAGTTCTAGATCCAGAGTATAGTTTGGTATACAGATGGTAGTATTTAAAAAAAAAACATTTTTTGAGTTGTAGATGGATACGATACTTTTATTTTATTTATTTATTTTTATGTGGTGCTAGGATCCAACCCAGGGTCTCACATGTTCTAGGGGAGCACTCTACTGCTTACCACAATCCCGACCCTTAGATGGCAGTATTAGTGAACAAGGCCAGATTTCCTTTAACACTGTCTCCTCTTTGACAACATATTTACATTCCTCCTTTCAAGTGTTTTATTACTCAACATGTCTAAAATTGTTAAACTTCTTCAGTTTTATCAAATTACTAACCTTTGCTGTTCATTTAAACAAGCATTTGGGCACCTGCCTTGTTTCAGTGTTGCTGATATAATGGAACCTCAGAACACTTTTTTGCCTCCTTTCTCAGCACTTGCAGGTTTAACTAAATCTATAATAATTTTCCAATATGTTATTGCTTTTCTTTTTTTAATGGACAATTTCACTGACTTAATTGATGAATATTTCTTTATGCTGTGGGGAAAATTAATGCAACAGAAACTGAAAATTTCCATATTTGATCATAAAATCAACTGGCTAGAGGGAATTTTTCAGAAACTTTTCAGTTTTTTGCTTTGGTGTTTGTTTCACTAAACATTTTACCTGAGTTAAAAATTTAAAGTCATTATACCTTAATGATTAATTTTCATTTTGGGGAAAAGCATTGATTAAGCATTTAAAAATTATTATTTATCACTTGTGACTAGTGTTTCTGTTTTAAAATTCTCCTTTATGAAGTTTTAGTCTGATCTTAATTTAAATTTATAATTTTATTTTTTCTTCATTTTAGGTTTTATCAATTTATTTATTTATCTATTTGGTCTCATATAAGTTCTTGGATAAATTTATCCATTTCTGTGTTTCTTAAATCACGTGATGCTGTTTTTTTCTTATGATTCATGTTTTCTTTAAATTTGAGTTGTGTTTTTAACTATTTTCAAGCCTAAAAATTTCTCTTTATTCCACTTTGGCTGCAATGCAGAAATTTTACCACTAAGCATTCTAATTTTTGTTGTTTTTATAAGCCTTAGGATTTTGGTTTTAATTTTCTGCATGACTTTTACTATTATACTGATTGATAATGTACAATATATTATTATAGACATACATCATTATTTACTTGCCAATTCACATTCATCAGGGGGCATTTACTTATGCTATTTCATTATATTTTGTTTGTATAAATAATGCAGAGATGAATATATTTGTTTATAAATAGTAGCAGACATTTTTTGATATTAAATAGAAAATATCTCAGAGGTGATATGATGAGACCAAACAACACACACTTGTAAAAGTCTCTTCAATGCATTCTGAGACAATTTTCTATTAAGCATTCTATATTATTAACCTCACTAATGAGACACATTGAATGGCTGGCTGTTTCCTAATGAAGCTAACTACTGTAACAGTTTAAAATCTTTACTATACTATTTTGATAAGCGAGAAACAGACCTCATCATTGGGTATTGCCTAGAAAAAGACTATTCTTGATGAGAATGAAGCCTTTCTATTCCTGGGAAGAAAAGCTGCCTACAACCAAAAACTTTGAACAAAGATTAACTTTGTCCAGATAACAAAGTTATTCAAAGCCATTTCTTGATTTGGAATTTCTGGATTATGGGCACTCAGGCTAAGAAGAGTTCTCCAAACTCATGTATTGTTACCAATATTTGAAAGCCCTTTTCAATGTCTCTTGCATTACTCCATCATGGGGAAGCATCCACTGTTTCTCATGAGAAGTTTCATGTCACATTTGGGGAATGATATATTCATTCTTTTAGATCTCTTTCATAGTTTCTATTTCTCTGTTATTCTGTAGTTTTGTAATTTATTAGATTAAAATGTCAGCATGAAGTTCTTCATCATCATTCAATATCCTTGGCATTCATTAAGCCCTATGTATTGAAAACTAATCATTTAACCCTTATTTTCTGCCTCCTGTTCTATTATTTGCTTCCCTCTGTTTTCTCTATTCTCTCAATCTCCTATAGAAGGATAGGGAACTATTTTACTAATCCTTCATTTTGTTCTCAATTACTTTTTGTCTTTCACCTTTCTTGTATTTTAATTTCTTATGCTTGTAGCATTCTACTTTTTCTGTAAATATTTTAATTAGTACTTATAGTTTTATTTTCCAAACATGCTGTTTTTATTTAAGTATTTCCTTTCTCCTTCCCTGATCCCTTATTCTTTTCTACCTATCCCTTCCCCTTTTTTCTTTTCTTCCCTTCTTCTTTATGTCTTTTTCATAATACCATTCTGTTTTTGAATTATAGATACATGTTTTCTCGAGTAGCTCCTTTACAATATGAGTGTTTTCATCAGTTTTAATTTTCATTGAGTCATATCATCTCTCCTAAGTACTTCATTCTTTTGTATTTTTAATTTGTTTTTTGTTCCAGTTGTTAATGGTTTTCCTTAATTATTTCTAGTTTTGATTATCATTCATTCATATATATATACATAAAAGATTTGGTTTTTGCTATAAGCAGAGGACAAGGGTTTCTCTGGCTACTCTGAATGTCTGTTTTTCCATGAAATATTTTCCCAAATTAAAAATCAGACAAAAGTTGTTAGCGAGTTGCCAATTCATGGTAACATACATACTTTACTTTAGGGTACTAAACCAGACAGAATGCGAAAGTAAGGGGGAATTTAGAACATGGACATCCACTGTAGGTGCCATAAATTTCCCAGATAGCTGGGGGTTGATTTTATTTTGAGAGATCTCCAATTTTTCATGAAGGCAAAGAATACTTTTGTGTTCTTTACATGTTTTGTGGGATAGTATATCAATCCTGGATTTTCCATATATAGCAGTTAACCGTAATGATCACTATACCATGTGTGACTTTCTTCTTCTCTGTCAACACTAAAGTTGGAGCCTGTGTTTTGTTCCTCTAGAAAAAGGGTTTCTTATTTCCCCTGTAGCATACTGCTATACAGTGTATCAATTCTATTGATCCCTCAATTCAGTTCTATCCATTCTCTGTCTAATAGATACCCTTCAAATTTTCTGGTATACTCATGGTCTCTTTCCCAATTTCAATGTCATTATAGGCTTATTCCCTTTCTCCATTTTTCTGACATGTTAGAAATATTTTGAGAAAGAGAGAAGATGAGTGCATGTGTTCAATTTATTTTTCCTGAACAGGGAGTTGCCCTTCCTTCTCAAACATTTCTGTTTCACTCTTCCTATTATCTTCTTTTACTCCCATCGTAATAACTCATTATTTTAGTTATTGCTTTCATTACTATAATCTAATGATCCATGCACCATTGAATTTACTTTGCAATGTCTGTCTTATTTTCTTCCTTTTAAATATTTTGTGATGAGTTTACTACTAATAATAGGGGGGGGCTAAAAACCCCAACATAATGATTAATATAGATTAGGCAAGGAACATTATATATGTTTCATGGGTATTAAATTTATTCTTTTTTAAAATTTTGTTCTTTATAGTTATACATGACAGTAGAGTATATTTTGACATAAATAAATGGAGTATAACTTCCCATTTTCGTGGTTGTACATGATGTGAAGTTACACTGGTTGTGTATTCATATATGAGCACTGGAAACTTATGTCCAATGCGTTCTACTGTTTTTTCCCATTCCCCTTCCCCCAATTATACTCTTTTCAATATGGTGAGCCTCTCCTTCGCTCACCCCGACACCCCCAGCCTATTGTGAGTCAGCATCCACATATCGAGAGAACATTCAGCCTTTGGTTATTTGGGATTGGCTTGTTTCACTTAGCATAATAGTCTCCAGTTCCATCCATTTATGGCAAATGCCATAATTTCATTCTTTATAGCCGAATAACATTCCATTGTGTATATGTACCACATTTTCTTTAGCCATTCATCTGTTGAAGGGCACCTAGGTTGGTTCCATAGTTTATCTATTGTGAATTGAGCTGTTATATACATTGAAGTGGCTGTGTCATTATAGTATGCTGATTTTAAGTCTTTTGAATATATACAAAGGAGTGCGATAACTAAGTCAAATAGTGGTTCCATTCCAAGTTTTCTGATGAATATCTACTGCTTTCCAGAGTGTCTGCACCAATTTGCAGTCCCAACAGCAATGTATGAGTGTACCTTTCTCCCCTCATCCTCACCAATATTTATTATTCCTTGTATTCTTGATAATTGCCTTTCTGACTGGAGTGAGAGGAAAC